CCACAGCGAGTAAATTGAGTGAGGCTTTGTCTTGCAACCCACGTCACTACTCCCTATGAAAATTGCTCGATCCCCTTCTGGCAGCTGTCACCTTCCCTTTAATCACTTTCTTCCCCTCTACGCAAGAAACTGTATTAATATTATAAGGCCATTAAGGTGGGCCAAACCTGTTATTGGTATGCATTTGATACTCAACCAGGGGTATTGTTTTTCAGAAGACCGTGACAAGGCACAGCAATGCTAGTAAGCTCTATGACCTTGTAAGTCTCTCACAGCCCTGTCAGTCGTGAGATCAAAAGCACTCAGAGGACTTTCAGTCCAAACTCCACCTTCACTTCTCCAACACTCCCATCTTTCTAGCAGAAGATATTAACATTATCCTCACAACACACTGCACCACCACTACCTAAACTCTAAAATGGCTAAAAAAGCACGCCGACAAGTACAGCATCCATCTCAAATAGCTGGGGATTTTAGTGATGGGAAAATTCATACAGAGATCCACTTTTGATGGAAAGGACTTACTGTCACCTCTGCTGATAGCAGGCAACATTTCAGCAGCAACTCATTAAAGTGACTCAGAGAAGAAGTCAAACTGGATGTGGTCACATTTGTTGTTCAGCCTTTTCATCTCAGCTGTGACTCCAATTCTGCAACTGTTCAGCCTGCACATCGTGCTGCAGTGATTCATTTAAGGGGAGGAGGCGAGATCCACCAGGGCGTCTCCAGCTCTGTCTGTATTTAGTATGTTTACTTGGTTAGAGGTCACATTCGAATGGCGGAGGTAACAGCTCATGCAACACCTGCCATTCCGAACCTCAGGTCATGTTTGCAGTTGTTAGCTCTGATTTGTGTAACGAGAGTGTCACAGCAAATATAATCATTGCCACAAAGCTAAAAAGGCCCATCTTTGTGTGTGTATGCGTGTACACCCGTGTAGAACGGTCACATTAAAGCACTACCTCACAGAATATGACTGTTTATTTGTGCACCTATCTGTCAGAGAGACAGCACAAGCTACAATCAACAATTTCCACATCTCGCACCATAAAAACAAATAAAACCACGCGGCCTTTATGAGCACTCTGCGCCCATAAAGAGATGAGAAGTATAGCAGGAATGTGTCCAAAACTTCAACTAAGTATAAAGCCTGTTTCAAACTAACTTGACATTAGTGTTGATGAACATCACCGCTCTACTGCAATGACCCAGCAGTTTTTCAGCAGTGGAAAAGTTCACAGTGTCTAAGGCCACAGGCAGCCCATCAGATCAGCAGCCTGACCGGGAGAATTCTTGTCATTTTTTCCAACATTTGCAAGCTTTCGCAGCACGACTTCGCTCCCCAGGGGTCAGTAGCACTACTGTGCTCTTCGCCCACAATCTTTGCTCACCACCAATCCTAATTGTGACAGTTGAAGGCCCAAAAGTTCTTCTTCTTCTCCCAAATAAAATTCAAATTGAGTTTTTGACACACCGAAGGAGAGTCATCCATCACAGTCGCACAAGTTCAAGTAGTCAGAAAAGGGATATGCATGGTATTTTCCAATTATGCATAATGTAATAATAATTTAGATGAAACTTTAGCAAAAAAGTCAGAAAGGAGATCACTGTGAAAAGAAAGCAAAATAACAGATGTAGAGAAAAACAAAGAGATATCACCAGGCTTAATAACAAACATTTCTAAACAGTTCTGCTCTAGATAACCACGTTATGAAACCAATATGCTAATAATTGAGTTTGGATCAATTGTATCCAGCTGTACCAAGCTGTTTGTTACAAGGGACTCCAAATCTTTTCAGTGAAGCTCATTTATCCCCGATCACTATCAAGAGGAAGTCTGTGTTTGTGGTTAGAACGAGGAAAGGATGGAGGGCAGGCGTGAGGCCACGAAAGGACGAAAGCAGAGGTGGATCAGAAGTTAAGCGCTTTCGATTCTCTGCTTCATCACTTCTCAGATGCACCATTTCATCAAATCTTAATTTAACTGCAATACAAATAATTACTATGTCATTACCAGTTGTTTTCTTAAAATCAACCATTTATTTCCACAAAATGAGGCATTAACCCGCTCTGTCACAAACACATTATACTGGGCCTGCGTTCCAGCTCACTTTCTTTTTACTTCCATAAACTCTGCGACTGATGTTACAAAGAATATACTGAACACATACTACAGAAAGTACATGCATTACAAGCAGTATGCAAACAAACAGGGCGTACTGCGTGAATATAACATTGTGAGATAAACTGTTGCTCACACATTTGTCACGTCTGTAGAGCCAAAAAAGGCAAAACAAAAAGAAAAAAAAGGTTATTAAAATGATTTTAATTGGAAGCAGCTTGGCTGTGCATATGTGTGAGGCTTTTTTCAGAGCATAGAAAATAAAAACTCTGTTAAAGTTACCAGAAAAAAAACATTCTGGTTTTCAGGTTGCAAAATGAATTCTGATGCTGTACGAATCTTGACATACTGGGAGAACTGGTGCTGACCACACTAAGAGTATTCAATTGGAAATACTGCCATCTGATGGCATCAGCTTAAAACTACAATACTCATTTTGAGTTCTTAGATGAGGTGATGAATGAAAGCATTAGATGGTTCCAGGTGGTTCTAATTCACAGACACAAAGCCGAGCCCGTTCAAGTTCAGACGTTTATGGCTTTGTTCATGAAGGTCTGCATGAGCAACCGCCAGCCAAGTCTATGTAATCTTTGCTGTCCAAAAGACTGCATGACAAGAAAGAGATTCACCAGTCATCTCAATTTCAAGAGGAAGCTGCTACCAATTGTGGAGCACGAAATGTGTAAGTTTAAACTGACAGAGAAATTACAGCGTTCACATTTTTCCCTCCAGTCTAAATTATATTATACTTCAGTGCCAATGACAGTATACATCATGCTACAAGACTCAGCTGGCAGGGAGTTACAAAGAGTTTGAGATATGGAGTCTATCACAAAGAAAGTGAGACTTCTTTTTTTTCTAAATGTTTTTCAGACATGTGGCACTGAACTCTGTTGCCAATGGGAACTGTTTTGAAATATCCACCATCTCCCATCTTTAAAGACATAAAAAAAATTGATCAAATGCACGAGATTCTGTTCAGATCATCAACACACTTGTTTGTCTTAAAAAGACAGCTCATGAATCATTTGGAAGAGAGATTTTCATTAATAATGTCTGCAATAGTTATATAGTACTGGATCATATGTGTTCATATTATTGCTGCTTTTCTCACATTCATATCTGCTGAACTCATTTTACCGAACACAGAAAGCTATTCATTACCTCCGCCAAGAAGGATATACTTTTAGTAGTGTGTGTGTGTGTGTGTGCGTCATTAAACTGTTTGTAAACATGATAGCTCAAAAAGTTTTGCATGATATCTGATCAAATTTAGCAGGGGTGTAGAGTGGGGTCAAAAATCCAACAAAATTAGATTTATTTTAAATTATAAACTTCTAAAGTGTGTATAAAAACAAGAAATGTAAACAATTTCAATTCGACTAAAGGTGAATACTGCCCACAGAGTGCCCTGCCTCAGCAGAGATTTGCGTTCTCAGAGAGCTTCTTGTTTATTATGGCTTTACTTTTAGAGCGTACCTGTAATACAGAAGGGCTGATCTCCTGCCCAGGTCCCATCACCCAGACAGGTGCGCTCTGCAGATCCATACATTATGTAGCCTTTGTTGCAGGCGAAGCTTAGAGTGCTCCCCTCCAGGTAATCAGTCCCGTTCTTCCACCCATTCCTTGGTGTGGGAAGCCAGCCACAAGACACCACTAAGGAAGAATAACACACTAAACTATTATTTCATTGTGCTCTGCCAAGTATTAAAGAAAAGGTTAAAAAGGGTTATTTTCAGACGTACAGGTATAACTATAAAAAAATTTCCAAAACTAATATTTTCTCTTATTAGGTTTTCTTATGGGATAATGCAATGTATAATCCTTTCTACGTAACAACACTGGTGTTCAGTGTTGTTCAGATACTCAGTTTTATTTAAAATGAAACAGTAAGAATAAACATGTAATCACAAACTACATATGAATAGGCTTCCTCTTATTTCCTGTGGTACCTGGTTTCAGGGCGTACAGTAGGGCTTGGTGTTTCTGGTAGGCCTTGAGTGTGGCATTTCCCACTGTGAGGTCCCGAGTCGTCAGGGTATCATATTTACAAAACTGTGAACCTTCTCCATAACACATCGTCAACATGTCTGCCACCAAAGGGTCATCAAGGCTCTCGGGTAGAGAAAAAGCTGGAACAAAAGTGGGGTCATGGCTCGGTGGGATATTATACATATCCAAAAGGTGCTCTGAATCATATGTGAAAAGGGAGGAATTCTTTGAAATGTTCCCTATGGGCAGAAACACACAATATTTTCATTGGTTAAAAAACAAAAACCATACAAGTATATTTGTGAAATTACTACACACTGTCATTTAGGTTTGGACTTAACAAAACGGCTTATAAATGGTGAAACTAAAGATCTGTAACATATAGGGGACATATCTCTGAATTAAAAAACAACTATTTTTAAACCTTGGATGAAACTGATT